CTGAGGTTTCTAACATTCAAAATGTAACAGATTTTTGGCAGTGTACATTTTAAAAACAAACAAAATTTTATTTAGTGCTAATTTTAAGTATAAAAGCGCAGTGCATGTCGAAAGACAGACTGACATGTTTTCTTGTTTCTTAAAAAGTTTCTTGTTTTTCTCTTGAATATTTCGAAAGCTTTAGGATTAACGCGAATTTCGAAAGGTAGATGCAACACTTGAAAATCCGAATATGAAAGCTACCTTGATTTCGAAAATTTGACATCGATGGTTATTTGATCTTGATTTGGTAGACAAAATTCATGACTACATTGTTCTTTTATATTTTATGAAAAACACCAATAGGATATATTCACAGTAATACAGCAGCAATGCAATGGCGCACGAACAGTTACATAACATAAAACACATAGAATATATTCTGTCTCCGCAACAGCACACTCTTACCATGAAAAGTTGCAACGTTCCCCCTTTTTTTGTGTTCTGCTTCTTCTCTTTTTCTCCTTTGAGATAGATATCTTAGTAAGTTAGGGGTCACTGTTAAATGATGATACAAAATTTTTGTTGGTCATATCATGATGAAAAATCCTGTGGCGTTCGGTGAACCTCTACACCCGTACAACTGAAAGTGATAGTCTTGGTAGTTGATGGGTGAGATGCAGTACTAACACCGAACTTTGGCCTCTGCTTTACTTTAAATGAGAAGTAGTCGGCAGCTCCCATTAGTGAAAATTTTCTGTTCAATAACCTTAATGTCAGTGGCTTGGAGATAACTGATTGTGAAGTTCATGCATTTTGGAAATCTAGTTGGGAAGTTTCAATGATTATATAGCCTTGATTAGTCCTGGGGCAGAAAACTGCATCCCCTTGCTCTGCTCTTTAGAGTGATGAACTACCAGATCTGAATATTTTTCCTTCAGGAAAGTGATCCTAAAAGCTCATCAAATATTGAAAATACTACCGTATTTTTTAAGGAATGTCTAACAGATTTGAAGGTAAACCAATCCAGTCAATGTCCTGCTTGTTTTATCATTGATAGATACTTCATGAGAAGGGCACAAAATGGTATGGTTGATACATGAATGTATTAAGGAATTTTTTTAAAAACAGGAAATGTTAAGATTTCATTCTGGGGATCTTCTAATTGAAACTGTTTACTTTGTAGTTTTCCTGTCTTGGAATGAATGAGAGTAGACAAGTTAATACACAAAGGTATTGAATTTCATTTGAAGTATTTTATCAGAAAATTGTCCTCCTTTGTTTTTTTCAATTAGGAATTTTTTGAGAAACTGTCTCATCAAAATGTCTTTATTGCAAGGTGTATCAGGCTATGAAAAGAAGGTAAACGAATGAAATGTATTATCTTGATTCTTTGCCTTGATTTGCCCAAAATTATAAAGTGCAGGTAGCTGAATTGCCCATACTGCCTTACACTCTCAGTCCAATGAGATGCTTTAAGTGCCAGCATTTTTCCTAAACCACAACTTTCTATTGCGACAGCTCCACATGTGCTCATTAGTCTGCAGGGAAAGGGTATCATGGCAATGAAAATTGTTCAGCTTTGGCATATGCTGTAACTGTAATGGGGAATACAAATAATTCTCACTCACTTGCCTGAAATGGAAATCTGAAAAGAAGTTTCACACTTTGAAAATTACTAGAAGTAATATATATGTAAATGAGGAAGCAGATTGTGGGCACTCAGTTGTGCCAAAACTTACCTTACTCTGATGCTACACATTTTATTAAATCGATTATCATATTGAATTTTCCTTAATGTTCAGGGGAAAAAAGGCATTGACTAGTTTAAGAGATTTGACCACTAATGCATGCAATATCAACAATACAGTCCTACAATCGATAAAGAATCGAAGAGAATAGAATTGGTAAAAAATAATGGCCATTCAAAAATCAGAGTTGGGTCTTGTTGAAATCTCTTGATTTGAAAATAGAAGTAACCATGGAGTATGAGTTTCAAAAAAAAATCTCTGTCACTGAAGAAAAAAATGGCATCACAAAACAAAGCAACAAGTGATCGTAATGGTAACTCTTATATCTTGTGTCCGATTTTCCATTAGAATTTTGAGCATTAAAGATATGATTGATATGCACCACTGATTTTATTTTGCAGTGCAAGAAAAATGCATCTAAAACTGAGTCAAACACTCACGCTTTCAGAGTTATTCTGTAGCTAGGAAAAAATATATTGATGGATATACGACTATGTTTGTGGAATATATGACTTTGTTTGTGGAGGAGTGGTTTTATCATGCCTCCTATGTATCATTCTCCCTTTGAACATGAACCTTGAAGTTATTCGATACAAGTAAATATTCACAAATTGTTTTTTATGTGCAATTTTTTATCATCTGCCATGGAATGTGAATATTATCTGAATGAATTAGATTATTTTATTGAGCAGATGCCAGCACCAGTTTATTCCAATTAGTGACTGTAATGGTCATGATTATATACCAGTGGAAAGTGGCCTATAGAAAGTGATGCTTATTCAGTGAAATTTATAATTGAGTAGTTGACTGTGAATCAGCCTTTGTCTTTTAGATGAGGCACAGAATATCTTTATGGATGAAGATATTCCATTTGGTCTTGCCATTTATTCTGTCCCTCCTGCCTTGCTGCTTATTTAGTAGTATCAGGAATGATCCCTAGTATAACAATCATTTCCCAGGTCTTGGAGCTATAATAGGAAATGGAGAAAATATTATAAAATCTTCAGAATTTATATTCAAGAATGCAGCTTGGGAGCTTCGAGAAAATGGTGAATTATTTCCATACCGGTCAGACATCACATTGTTACCAATACTCTTGTTAAGAGAGCTGAAATCTGTATACCTGAATAAAGTTTCTGAAATGTCCAAAATCAGGGTGGAGTTGTGATTGTGAAGAAATTCTCAGCCAACAAAGAACAACTGGGGAATTTTTTCACAGCTATATTCATTCTGAGCAATCTCATATCCTAAAAAAAGAGAATGGCAAATGCTTGAAAATACTCTGGCACCAAAGATCTGTGAATTTATTATATGTCCTTTATTACATCCTCAAACCCTAGCAGATTTCCTTAATGACAGTTAAAAAAAAACTTTATGTTGGAAAGGATAGCCTAACTTTTTAGAGCAGAGAAGGCATTGCTAACTTTATACGTAAAGCTTTGCTGTTGTTATGAGTAACACAAACATCCAGTGGCATTTCACTCAGCTGAGTTTTGTTCTGAGAAAATTCTCACTGTTTTTAGCTCTCTGAATACCAAAACATATAGCTTGGATTTTGTGCTGAGAGAGGTTTTTTCTCTTTATTCCAAGACTAGCTCTGATCTTAATGGTATCATAAGAATCCTGTATCACCCTGTTTGGTGTAGAAAGAAGTCACTTTTTCTAATGTGTGACTGAATGCTGTTGCTATTTCAGTTGTAAAATCAGGAAAAAGCTCAGAAGAATCTTCCCAACTGTTGTCCAAATGCCCTGAGTTGCTTATGCAGAGTTCTGGAAACAATATTGAATTGCGACCTTGCTTGTTATTTGGAAAAAAAAGTGGTCATTTATCACCTTACCAGACGGAATATCGAAAATGCTAATGTACAGCAGATAATTTGTTTTCTCTGGACACAGAGATTATTGCATTCATTAAGAGGAATAATTTAGTGTTGTAAGTAGTTATTAAATGATCGAACAAGGACACGTGTCCTTGTTTGATATGAATAAATTTATATTTACCATTTTTATAGTATTCAATGCGCCAATGCTTAGTCCCACCAGTAGCTGATTAGTTAAGACCACTGTATACTGGAGTTTGACCTACTTTGGGCTCACACCCAGATGAAGGGCTGGCTGCATGGTTGGTTTTCATGGTTTTTCTCATTTGTAACATGAATGCAAGCTAGTTTTGCTCAGGAAGTCCTTCATGAACACATGCCTTCTCTTAGGCAGATAGCCCTAATAGCTTTGTCATATTGAAATAACCTAACCTAATCTAACCATAGCATACTCATCATTTAGTCTCTTAACACCAAAAACATTTTTCTAAACTGATTTTGCATACTTAATTAAATGCAAACATTTCCTTCATCAATTATAGTGTGACCACTGAACATGATCTCAAATTCTAAAACCTCAAGTCAGTTTTTCTCATAACGGAGTCAAATCTGCTATGTTTTATTTCATTCAATGAATATAAATTTTGACTAAGAATTAAATCAACTTATAAATAGCTAGATTTTGCTCTTATTTAAAATTTGAATTTTTAAATTTAAAAATGCCATAACATGAATATTTTCCATATTTAAAGCATTTGTAATTAGAAGTATGTATGTGCAACTGGCAGTTGCAGAAATAGAGGCCGCATAAGTAGTTTTATAGAATATTTCATTCTTCAGTGCCATTACAATTATTTTGAATAACATGCTTTAAACCAAGTTCCATTTATTAAAAGATTATAGTATTTAAAAGCTAAAAAAGTTAAAATTGTAGAAGTTACTGAATATAAAGTTTATCAAACTAGAAATTTGAAAATTACTATATCTCACAAATTTTTTGCTCTACATTGGATCCAAAGTAGCATTATTCCTTTTCGGATCACTTTGTTTTCACCGTGTGTTTTTAAGGGAATGTATGAGCATCCCTTATTTATTAAATTACCTTTATCTGTCTGGTATTTTTCATTGTGAAAGATTAGTTATATTCGATTTATTTATTAAAAGAAGAAATTGTATATTATTCTCATTGAAAACTGAACATTATATTCATATTAAGTGTGATCTAAGACATATTTTAAAATTATTATTGTGAATATTTTAGGACTGGGATGAGTGCAAGGGAAGATTTGATGTAAATTTTTACTATGTATTACTTTTTGTATAAAATAATGCATTTGGGTGTGTGTTGCTTCATATGTGAGCTTTTTTTATTGCTTTTGATTGCTGTAGGCAGTTAAGATAATTAATGAAGATTTTCTTAAACATAAGCTGAAAAAATTCTTTGTGACAGGTTTTAGATAATGGTGATCTGAAGATAACAAATGCTCTTGTAACTGATCAAGGAATGTATACTTGTTCTGCAAGTAACAAGCTGGGTGATGCTGAAGCAGAAGGAAAATTAGAGGTCAAAGGTAAATTCCGAAATATTTATTAAAATTAGCAATTTCAGATTTTTACATTCCCATATCTTTTTTTATTTACCTTGTTCCGAAAAATTGGCAGAGGGCAATATTTTGATTGGTTATCCTGGCTTATATTTTCTTGGTGATAATTATTTAAGTGACAGTTACAGGCTCACCCTCCAGGACATGCTTAACACAAGTCCTTGTATGGAGCTATTGGTATTTTCTTCTACTTAGCTTGCAGAAAACATACAAGTTCCTTCACCGTTGTCAGATGGTTCTTGCATCCCTCAATTCAGTAATCCAACTCGTCCCAGGAGATGGTGGTAGGATTTTGGTCTGGATTCTTGGAAAGCTGGTCCTTTTGGTTAACTCCATTGTAACCATACCAATCCATATTAGACCTTGCAACATACCATCTGGTGGTGTCTTCCTGGAAATAACATGGGCCCAACTCTTAAAACTGCCACAACGTAGGAAACACAGTGTTATCTAAAATAGTGTGATAGTCGTCAGTGTTGAGCTGACCATGAATTTGGATCAAGGGTCCCAATCCATACCAAAAGAAACACCTACCCCCAAACTTTCTTTTCACTGTCGACAGAACTGCTGGCCTGCTGGGTTAGGTGTTCTTCAACATGTTGGATCCTGTTGATGGAAGAAATATATATATATATATAAATCGTAAAGGTTTCAGATTTTAAATTATGTCCAAAGGGTTTTTTCTTAACGTTTTATGTGCTACCTTTATTTATTAAATGTCATGTTCTTTGCATTTAAACCGTAAAATTCAGTTCAACAGCAACGTCGCAAAAAAATATTTTAAAATGAGCATATCTTTAGAATTTCCAATACACAGTTCCACGCGCTGAAGATAAAAAGGTTATTTTCTCCTGTAGACCGTTGCCATTGCTCGCTTTTAAATCGTTGAGTTTGTTAATCAAAAATTCGTTAAAGTGTTACAAATACGAAATCAAAAATAAAACAAATTCCAAATTTCAAATTTGGGCTTTTAGATGCCCATGTTTGCAGTAGGATTACGTCATTCAAAGTTTTATGGCTCTAGATACCATTGTTTTATCACAGTGCGAGAAACATACATACATTTATGCAGATTCTTCATTATTTAACTTCTTGAAATATAATACAAGGCGGTATTTGGTGGCAATGATATGAAAAGTAATACGGTAGAAGTCCAAAATTCCGCAACACTTGGGACCAGAGGTTGTGCGGATTTTAGGATTTTGCGGTTTTTCAGGATGGAAAAGATAATATTCAGACTAAAAGTGCAAAATAAATAAGGCGTATTAGATACATTTATTTAAATTATTATATACATTAATACAATAATTAATTTTATGCATTAAATTATTATTATTACATATGTAAACTGATTATATTATTCATTTACATTAGGCTCCTCTATTTTTAAATCAGCATGAATCTGCTTCCTCTTTTCTCTCAGGAGTACAGGTTAGGCTTGGCGCAGGCCTGAAATAGATACCCCATCACTCCGCCGCTGCCAGAACCACTCGTACAAGACAGCAACGAGGTTTGTCGATTTCGCCTCATGTAAAGATTTCCGGTTTCGGATTCCGATGTTCGAATGAATCACTGTTGCTGTAAAATTTCAACAGCTTTTCTTTATTGTTCCGTATATCATACACAGTCCCTGTGGCAATTCCATACGATTCTGCTATAAACCGAGCAGTAGCACCTGCCTCTATCTTTAGCAGAATTTCCACTTCTTTCATTACAGTCAATGCAACGCTTTAACATTTTTCAGCGTTGCAAGCAGTAAAATCATGAGTGCATTTCTTATCTGTCATTGTATTAAAAAGCACTGAAATTTAAAATATTCTTAATATATCCACAAAAATATCCGTATAAAAAGAAAAATTACTAAACAATCTCGTGAAATAACAAAGCTCAGAAAGTACAACAGCGTGAACTTGAAAGAAAAGTTGAATTAATCATCTGCTTTTTTACCTCGATACAGATTGGAGGGAAAAACTCTTAACATGATGTCAATAATTTGGTATTTCCGTTATGACTCATTATTATTTGGTAATTATGACGTCATTATCCAGTAAGTATTTTTTCTTCGATATTTTGTACTCCATGTTGCGGTTTCCTGAACCTGTAAACTAGATGTTTATATTTTGAGAGGCAATACGGATTTAAGGAGTTGGCGGATTTCAGGTCGGCAGATTTTCGGTATTTGACTGTACAGCCTTTTAAAGTTTTCAACGCAAAATCGCAAAAAGAAAAGCAATAGTCCATCAGGGATAAAGCCCCTTTGAACTAACTAGACTGTAGTACTGTGTCCTCCGGGAATTGACTATGTAAAGTGAGGCATATCGACAGGAAGATCATAACATAGAAAGATAGTGTATGGTGGGAACTGTTGAGACTAAGGGGAAAATGCTGATGACCACTTATCTTGAGCACTGCAAAGTTGCTGTTGCTTGCAAGGAGACAATGTCATTGTCAAGTAAAGTGTGCTCATAATGTATATTGAGAGTTATACAATTAAATGCTAATTATGTAAAAATAATTGATGCGGTAGGTGCTACATTACCAAGAGCTTTGCAACTTGGTAACAGGTTACGTACTTCTGTTAATTCAGTGTATATTTTAGTTACTTTTCACTATTATGGTATATGTTAGGCATACAGATATAATAAGGACAGGGTATAGATACAGATGTAAAGATGAAATCTGAGCAAATACATATACATTACAAATCATGAGGCAAAACAAAATATAAATTAGGTTAATGTAACTGTGCATGTATATATGTTGCATTTACATTATGTAAACACTAATGACAAGTTATAATGGCAATACTGCAGCCTCATATATTTCTATTTTGCACTAATAGTAATTACGAGTGCCTTAAATAAGTGCTGAACTCAGAGAATTTCATTAACATAGGTAATGTCATGTTAGGTACTAAATGAATTAAAAAAATATTATGAAATATGTGTGCGGACTGATTTACAGAACATACATAATGTTACATATTACCTGTGTGTATTTATTTAAGGTACAGTGCTGCTTGGTAAGGCAAAAAATAACAAATAGAACCAAGTAAGGTACATCCTTGATAAAAAATTAGATATAGATAATAAAATTTAACTGCAAGTAAATATTCAGAACAGTACAAGCTGGATTAATTATAATAGTAAAACATTATTAAAGCAAATTATGGTTGCCCGCTACCTTACGGTGATGCCCCCAAAAAAGCAAGTTTTGCGCCAACGATGGAAGCGATCACTTTCTTGGCAAATTATGTATTGCATAAGCATCATTTGGGCAACTGGCGTAGAGCCAGTTTCTACAGCTTAAATCATATTGTCTATTAGAAAGGTAAGTTTCCAGCGACTTTGGTTTGCAATAACCTCGAAAATGGAAAGACTCGCATGCACATGTGCAGTATATGGTGAACTAAAGAAAATACCTTCTCATTTCCCTATAAAATAATCGGGGGTTCTAGTCGGGTTAATCATGGTGTATGGTACACATAGGATTTGGCGACATTGTGATGAGCAGTAAATGGATTATTTTGGTGTTGCCGACAATTTTCAAAATTGCGTCTAGGCCATAGTTTATACTAGGATTTTACCGCAGAATCTTCTAAACCTTTTTAATAAATGTCCCCCTTTTTTTTTTTGCAGTAAAGTAAAAAAAAATAATAGTCAGTCATCTAAGCTAACCATTTAATATTTGCCAAAATTATTGCAATGTTGATTATTGTAATTCAGGTTTTAAGTAATTAACTTTATTTTAGCATTATTCATATAATTTAATATGGCTTCTTCCCTCTAAATTTATTAATTATTAGTTAATAATGCTTTCAAATTTCAGCTCTGACATAATCCTGAAACTAATTCTAGCAGTATGATGACATACTATCATTAAATTCAGTGCACATATTTTTTGCTATGTATATTTGCACATATATATGTAAGTCATGTAATTGACAAATTTTTGTGTTTTCAAGTGATATCATAATTAATTTACCTCTCAGCGCAACCAGCATGCAATATGCAGATAGACTAGAATCATTTTAAAACACAACTAGAAAACCTGGAAAAGTCAGGGAATTTCATTCTCCTGTTTGAGAGGCAACCCTGGCAAATAATTACTATTCATTTAAAAAAAAATTGAGTAAGATAATCTATGTACAGAGCAAGCTGCTGACAGCACGGTGTCGGAGGACAGTAATAGAGAAATCACTCCAGGTTGTCAGCAGTATTCTTAGCAATGTTAGTACGGTCTCTGATACGGCTGAGCATATATTATTTATTCTTATTTGTATTCCGGATCTATGCCAGCATATTGATTATAGCGGGTCTTCTTGAATTTGAATTTGCTGCTTGCGGGCAATCATACAGATAGTGGTCTGGGTCACCAGTACTGCCTCAAATACATTGGTCTCTGTATCTCTGGCCAAATTTGTGAAGATAGGTCATGCAGGGGTGTTTGTGCTCTGGGAAAACCCCGGAATTCCAGGGATCGTCGTTCAAAAGGAAGTAGGAATAATAATGAATTATTTATTTTGATCTGGGTAATTTTGTTTGCTTTGAAAGCAGAAAACGCAAGGTCAGTGTGTGTGGTGAAAACTTTCCTTTCTTTCTCCAAAGGCAGTGATAATGCGTGAAAAGGGGGGAAAAAACTTCTTTTTTGTTCTTTCCTTATTGCGAGTTATGACTCATTCTCCCGGTTCTCGGACATTCTCTTCTGGATTCTTTTTGGGAAGTAGGCGCGGCAGAAAAAAAAGGGAGAGACTTCGTTCGACCAGATGTGCGATCACGTGACTCTGGGTTCAAAGGTCTTATCTCTCCTGGCGTGGCGCCAATAAGTAGAGAAGGGGGATTTTTCACCATATTAGCTATTTGTCATTGATCGGTTTTCAACTTTTTTTCCTCCGCTGTGTAAAATTTTCGTTTCATTTATTGATGCACATGTAAATTTTTCGTTTCGTTTATTGAAATATTTTTTTT